TCATTGTATAGTTTTACCTACCACATACCGGCAGGTGGTCTAAAGGGGCTAATGCTTAAACATTCAGTAATGTAATGTTCGATAGTATAACCCAGTTTCTGCTCACAGAATGTATATATGAGATGTTCGTCTCTTGCAGCCACCTGCCAGAGGTAATGTTGGCCTAACATAATCATGGCAATTACCGCCATAAATTTCTTCCACCTCCACCAAAGGTGGGGAGCATACCCACCATACACCAGGCATTTCCTCTCTGGATTCCGACGATGAGACGATGGAAAAGGAAAGTGGCTGCAGTTGGATCTCTGATTTGCCTAATGAGTTTCCCCAGTTAATTTTTTCTATCATTTAAGGTGCACATTTACCCCACGTGCCATGAACCTCTTAACCTGTAACAGTGTTTTTGGCCCGTTTACTTATTGGTTTACCGGGTCTCCCTGAAAGTGGTAGCCCCACCACCTTCATATACACTGAACTGTAGATAAGTATCAGTCAATTTAGATGTAACTGTGCACTCCCAGACAACGTGTTAACCATACATGAAATGTTGCATGGTGATCCCACCTGCACGCTAGTGACTGCTGTGGGGTCTGCACGTTTGGGGTTCCCATTGTTCTGGACACTTGACTAGTCAAACTTCCTCAAACTTAACCTACAACTTACGACAGATCTAATGGTGGCCATATTTGACTACTGATGCATTGCCATAGATACACTATTGCCCGGTGGGGATACGGGTAGGATGGCGTAGGGCAACACTAATAGGGCCCCACAAACTAGGCTGGTGCCCATGGAGGAATGAGAGGACAGCAATTAAGAAATAGCCACACGAGAGGCTTGCACCTTAAAAAGGTGTGCTTTATATATACGTGTGTCTCAAATGTAAATGAAACAAAATTTATACTGCTTTTAAAAAACAGAGGTAAGGGGGTTCTGAGGTGTGGTTCAATTAATTTTTTTTCTACTTGATTTTGCTGCTTTAGCTGTGTCTTGATGAGTTAGCTTTGTTCGAGAAGGTATCCATGTAAAAATATATTTTGAAACCTTTATTCTGTGCATCGTGCATGGTTATTACTACCAGATTTCTGTTGTCTTGGAAAAAATGTTTTTAAATATTGACATGCTTGAAGGGGAGACCTTGAATAACAGAAAGCTGCTACTCCTGGGATTTATATTGTGCTGGTAGTAATTGTAGTGCAGCTAGTTCTGTTGGATTGGCTGTTAGCAGTCTTGAGTGCAATAATATACAGAAACCTGAACAAAATGTAATATAACCGAGTCATCATGAAATCAGCACTAGCTACTCCATCATCATTATACTACTACACATTAAGAGCCACATATCTATGGGTCAGCTGATGTACATTTGGCCTACATTATTATAAAAAAATTGAAACATCAAAGAATTTTGAGACAACTTTATCACTAACATTTCAGAAATATTAAAATATATATTCTGGCGTCGTGTTAGCACCACTTAATACTGTAAATCTTAGCTAAAGAAAATATAGACGCATTAGATAAGATTGTGGAAACACCTTACTTCCTTGGAGGTTCAAGGACAGTGTCATCATCACAACATTAAATCTTGAAATGTTGTAAGATGAGATATGTGTGCAGGGAAGGTTGCAAGAGTCATTTAACAGTTCCGAGAGCCTAAATATACAACTCTTGTTCAACGAACACGAGCATGTAAACGAAAGGGGCATTATCCAAAAGTATGCTCGGTGTTGTGACCAAACCACACATCAAAAAATGGAGAAAGGACAACGTTTCGATCCGTCTTGGACCATTATAAAGTCGTGTGCAAATCTGTGCCCGTGGTGCGTACGTACGTACTATAAAATAAAATAAAAATAAAATGTTTATTTAGGTAAGGTACATACATACAATAAATTTTTACGAAGATTGGTTGACTTATAGGTAGAGCTAGTACATACAATGCCTAAAGCCACTATTACGCAAAGCGTTTCGGGCATAACGCTTACTCACTACTCACCTAGTTGTGCTTGCGGGGGTTGAGCTCTGGCTCTGGTCCCGCCTCTCAACTGATGTACAGATTCCTGAGCTTCTCGAGCTCCCATCATATCTACATTTGAAGCTGTGTATAGAGTCAGCCCCCACCACATCATTTCCTAGTGTGTGTGTGTGTTTGGGTGTAATGTGTGTGAAAGAGAGGGAGTGGGTTGGGGTGTTATTTTTTTATTTTTTTTTTGTGATCCTCCGGTTTTATCATACAGATAAGAGCCCACTTGGCCCCCAAGGGTGATTGTAATCATATGATATGACAAGTTGGACACGGTCATTTATGACGACATAAATGGAATAATAATAAAAAAACGGTAATATAACCGATGAGAGTATCAGGATTATAAGATTAAAAACAGAAATACATCGCTGAGAAAATAAGAGGGATTATTAGGATTGTTGTAAGTGATTGCAGTAAGAACTCTTCCAGAATCAAGCAGTAGGTCTAAGACCTGGAAAAAAGTATAGGTTCCCCTTACGTCATCGCTACTCTAACCTAACTTCAGGACTCACAGTCGGGGATCTAGGATTCGATCCCCGGGTAGTACCAAAATGATTGGGGACGTTTCCTTTTTGCCTAATGCACCTGTTCACATAGCAGTAAATAGGTATTATATATAGTAAATAGGTAAATAATATAGTATATATAGTATTATATATAGTAAATAGGTACCATGGAGTTAGGCAATTATTGTGAGGCTGCATCCTGGAGGTCAGTAGTTCGACTTTAGGGGACCACAATACATGTCTTAAGTGTGTGTGTGTGTGTGTGTGTGTGTGTGTGTGTGTGTGTGTGTGTGTGTGTGTGTGTGTGTGTGTGTGTGTGTGTGTGTGTGTGTCCAAGAGAATAATATTTGAGAAGATGGTATCCGGACAGGGATAAGAGCCCATAGTGAGTGACATGCCACCTGGCTAACAAATACGTACGTTCAATAGCCTTAACCAAATGGCCAGGTGCATGGAGCTAACCTCAACCAAATTTGCAGGGAAAATGGTCTAGAGTACAGGACAGACATAGGCTGGTTGGGGTCACCAGAATTCAAGAGGGAGCAGCATACCAGGAGTCGCATTCTGACCCCCACAAACATTTTTGACACTGTCCGGCGGCTGCATCTATGAAAATGTTTTGAAACTAAAATTAAAAAAAAAAAATCTTAAAGAAATATACGTACACCATTATTTACTGATCTCAAGAAAGTTAACATAAATATTCGCCTATCCTTACTTTGGCCATAATAGCATAAAACAAATGAGTTTTCTACAGCTTCAAATGCTTCTCAAGTCCCATCCCTATCCCAAAGCGAATGGATAACTTTTCCTTTTTTTAATATTTCACGCCGCTAAGCTCCCATCGGTGGACCACCCACACGGCAATGGTAGAAAATTATATTATTTAAGCGAGAGAGAGAGAGAGAGAGAGAGAGAGAGAGAGAGAGAGAGAGGGAGGGAGGGAGGAGAAGGAGAGAAGGGAGGGAAGGAGAAAGAGGGAGAGGGGGGGGGAGGGAGGGAGGGAAGGAGAAAGAGGGAGAGAGGGGGGGGGAGGGAAATACAGACAAACAGATGGACCCGAGCAATGCCTGGTACCCCTCCCCCCCCCCCCCTCCTGTATACTATGGGAGAATATCTGTCTGTCCAAACTTGGTGTCGGATGTGGAACAGACATAGGCTGGTTGGGATACGCCTAAGTTAAATGTTTTAAATTTTATTTATAACACCCCATGCAATTTTCACTGAGCCAATTTAAATATATGGTGTAATTTCCCTAATTTTAGTGCTTGTAATAATATATTTTCTTATATATTAACTACATAATTTATATATACAGTACATTTATCTACGTAAACAACTGTATGTAGACCCATACAGTTATTTCAGTGTTTCTTAATAATACATTTTCTAAGAGAAGGGAAAGGGGAGAGGGACAAGGAGAGAGAGACAAAGGGGATGAGGAGCATCAAGGGATTGATGGGATGAATAGTAGAGAAGAGGAGGAAAGGGTTGAAAGAGGGGAGAAAAGACCCGGGCACAGCTGGGCAACCCCTTCTAATATATAAATATATCTGTCAGTTGAAGGTTGGAGGGGAGGGTTGGATGATAGGGGAAAGAGGGGGTGGGGAGGGGAAGAGAGACTATCCTGGGCACTGCCAGGTTAACCATAATAGTATACCTATAAGAGAGATTACTGTATCTTGTCTGTTCGAGGTTAGAGGCAAGGCTCTTGAGGCTAGCCTCACCCAACTTTCATGCATGAAGCATGTCGGGTAGAGGAGTGTCGTAAGCCAGTCTGGGTTAGGTATAGGGTCACTCTTTGGGAAATATCAGCATCTAACAACCTCCCTCCCAATGCAATTTTTATGAAATAACATCTGAAGTATTAGTTCTGTTGCCCATAGACTTATTCACCACTTTCAGTGATTTGTTATATAAGTTTTCTGAGAGAGAGGGGATGTTTAAAGAGAGGGGAGGAGAAGGGGAAGATGGGCATGCTTGAAGAGAGGGAAGGAGGGGAGAAAGAGGTATGAGAGAGGGGGGAGGGGAAAGACTGGGAGAGAGATATAATAAATGATACCCTTGCTACATTTGTACAAAAGGGCTTGGACCTATGCTACATAGGTTTGAGTTCTTGAGAGATCATTGAGTGCACTTATGTACAAATGTAGTTAGTGTACCATTCAAGCTAGCCACATACTGTACTTTTAAGGCACGATTGCAACATGTTCATAGTACTGTATTGTGTTGACGAAATAACTGTGCCCTTTCTCAATGACTGTAGAAATTGGATTCATGTAGGTCTAACAACCTTGCAGCTGTATCCATGTAATATTCAAGACCAAGATTGCATCTAGTAACAGTAATAAAATATTGTATCTGTTATTATCATGAAATATGACTAAGTCCTTCCCTTGTGAAGATAATTCTTTAATATTTTATTATAATTTCCTTGGAAATTTGACCAAAATTCTGTGTTGCAGGGAGCTGTGTGAAGACCTTTGATGATCAGAAGAAGAAAGTGTTCATCAATATTTGCACTTCAGATGCCATCCCTGCTCCTGAAGATATTACTGATCAAGAGCTGATTGCCATCCTCGAGTCGGATGCACCGTCAGACTTCCGTGTGCCCATGTCTATTGGTGAACTGCACTATGAGAAGGCAAAGTGTAAGATTTGTGACATCACAGTTCCCAGTTACCCTTTTGTCTGCATGTTTATTAAATACCGCATCCTTGAAACCAAGTCTTTTTGAGGCTCTTTGGATTTTAATATCTTTTAATTGAATTTATATTAAAAAAAACTCTGCCCTTTTCATATGTACTATTAAAATTACTTGAAAACTAGATGATGAAAGAATTTTCTAGATAAAATGTGTATGTTTGAGTCTTCATGCTATAATAGGGAAATGGTGCAAGCTACATGTGTTCCCAAAACATGGAATATCATTGTATATTACAGAATAAATAATAATCACCAATGACACTTGTGTATTTTAGGTGAAACATAGAACAAAAATTACTTAATTTTTGAGCTCCCGTGCCTCAGTGTTTGACCCTCCCAGGACTGATTGTTTTTTGGCCCCAGCAGGATGAAACCTTTTTAGATTATCTTGGCCACAAAATAAATTGTAGGGAACTCAATGGAGAGCATACCACCATCCACTAGAGCTTACAAAACCACCCAACACTGTATAAACATTCCTTGGCAACTATAAATTGCTAAGACCCATTCTGAACTACCAAGTCACTCGTTCAACTCTTATCTGAGGCTGGTTGGGTACGCTTCAGCTGGTACAGTTTCTCCTAAATTAAACCTCTGCTTTGGCAGTGCAGTAGGACTTTGTTTCCAAGTCAAGGGTTGTGTGCTTGGTTCATTATGACAAAAAGCTATGATAAATACCATGAGCATTCCCTGCATACCCAGAAGACCAGACCAGATTCCTAGAACCTTAAATCTCTGAAAAAATAGTACCTTGAATACCTAGGAAAGTACCCCAAATCATGTATTCTTAGGCATGTTTACTGGTTTACCATATGTTTACTTCCAATTTTTCTGAATGAGTACCTTAGATCCTCAGGAGGCTTTCTCAAATTCCTGGGGATGCACACATGTTCTATAACATTTTATTCCATATCCCATGTCATCTTTTTTACTGCTTCTTCACACACACTCATTAGGTGTGCAGAACTTCAGTGTCATTTTTGTATTGCTTGAGAAGTACAGAAGTGACTGGTTTCTGTTTGTTTGGGTTTTCACATGCTGCTGTATGTAGCTGGTTGCCTTGGGTCCTACCTGGGCAGGGTAGGCAAAAACAAAGTACAGTAATCAGAAAAGGGATTGAGAATACAGTAACTGCAAAGTAAATAAAGGAACAGAGAAAAATAGAGAACCAAAATAGACACACACACACACAGATAAGAGAGCATGTATTGACAGAAGCTGATCATTCTTTCTAAGAAGATTAGAGCATTTAACTGTGTACCGAGAAAGGCAAGAGTCCACAGCAAGAAAGCCTGGACTAAGGGTTCATGTTGTGCATGTTGTGTATAAGAGTCAATTCAACAAGATGGCATCTGTGAGGAGTAGATGCAGGAAAGATTATTTTGGATTATTTCCCTAACATAACAGAAGAGAACATATGTTTTGCATTTACAGTATGGTGCTCTCAGTCCCTTCTCTGCTTACTTAATTTAAGCTTTTCCTTTCATCTAGGAAGCTCCCGTTAGCTTTGTTTTTCATGCTTCACTTTTTCCATTTACATCTCACCATTTCACCCACCTCATCTACTCACTGTCTTTATAATGGCATTCTTCACTCTACAGCCCCGCTCCTGTGCTAGGTAAGTCCACCACGGGCTCACTGTAGCCCGTGCTACTTGGAACGTTTTGTTCCGAGTAGCTGAATCTAAAATGAGAACATCAACTCTGCAGCTATATATTTACGGGGTACTCATGCCCATGTCACCTCTTGGGTGGCATAATCTTCATCAGTCTACAGGTATGTGACCTGTTAAGGTTCCAGGACAGGCCAAAATGTTGTCACTTTTCTTTCTTTTCATGTGTGGGTTGGATTATTTGTTTTCAGACATGTTAGTGTGACTTATTCTCTATATATAATACATGTTGTCCTGTATAAATTATGTGTTAAAATTAATACAAATATTTCAGCTGGTGAAGATTGTATGGCATTTGACGTCATCATTAATGAGCAGTTTTTCCTCAAGATGTTTGACGATCCCCTCTTCCATAATTTTTTCATGATTGCTACTCTGGAGGGTATAGAGGAAAAATATTCTCTCAAGTTAGACAAAAATGGTAAGTGTGAAATATAACTTTGTTCTTGACTCAAAATTGGGGGATCCTGGGAACCAATCCACAAATGGTTGGGCACTTTCACTCATTATGGGGTGGCATCTTGGGGAGGGTCAGTAGTTCTACCTTGGGGGGAGGGGTGCCTCAATACAAGCCTAAAATACTGTATATACAAATGCTTCCTATTCCTGACAAAACAAGTTATTATACTGTATTGACATCTTGTTCAATGCAGAACTTTCAACAAGTAAATGAGCATGTCAGAACATTCTCCAGATGCCTTACCAAAACATCCCTTATATTCCATCTTGTTTCCTTATATGTCCTCATTTAAATTTTCTTTTACTCTTGTATAGTACTTTAATTTCCAGTCTTTTCATCTCCTACTCTGTACTATTCGTCACTTGTAAATTGTCCTAGGTAACCTTACCAAGGACAATTTACTCTTAACATAATGTTTCCATTGCAAAATATTTACATTTACCCACTCCACTATCCAATATATCTCTTAACCTATCTTATTCCATTGACTTTTTATTCCTTCCACTTTATTAACAAAGGTGGCTTGCAATTTGTGAGATACTGTATTGTATCTCACAAGTTGCAGAATCAAGTTATTAGAATCATTCGTTCATTAGAGTTGAAGCGAAGGAAAGAACTTAGAAAATTTAGAGACATTACCTAGGGACTTAGAATCAAGAGTCATCAGTGAGATTAAAGTGTTATGAATATAATCGTAAATACTGTGTGGGAATAGTGTGATTATATTTGTTCATATGCAACAAGCCATGTGCACCTGTCGACATTGCAAATCTGCGCTGTAATGTCATGCGTCACCTTCACTGCCTGACCATTATTCCAACCACTACCATCTCCTGACCATTGTTACCTCCACCATCTCCTGGCCATTGTTCCCTTCACCAGCTTCTGACCATTGTTCCAGCCATTTCCTGACAATATTTTCATCTATCATCTCATTGTCAACATCATCACCAGACATTATATATTGCCAGTTATCCTTGCACATGTGAGAGAACCCTGCAAGTTCATACAATCTATGGTGACTGCAGGAGAATGCAAGTGTGAACAATACTAGTATAAAGTACAATACTCAGATTTGAATCATAGGGGGTTTTGTTTAAGTCGCTGTATAATAATCTCTTGGAGATTAACCCAGTCGAACTCTCCTAGGGAACACTTGCAACAGGTGAAGGACTGAGATAAAGACAGTCAATGGACATCGTTACTTACCTGAGTGGAAGCAAGTATTGTACCCAAGTGTCGTTCAGTATAGTAAGTGGTATGGAAGGTTACTACACACACACACACACATAGCTGAACTATATTTGCATATATATAAATATCCCATTGATATCGTAGTGGTTTATTGATCCCATATGAATATGTTAACCCAAGCATCTGATTAGAACTGTGTTCTTTTGATAATGGTAGTGTTAGGAGCCATGTTAATTGGGTGGTTATTACAATGTTAAGGGAGGCCGTTCCTTAGGGAATCATTAATTGTTCGGTTGGGCTATGATGTCTCTTTCTGTTTGGATTATTTTTGTATGATTCCAATTCGAATAAAGAAACCCAAGTATATTAAAGTTTTATGAATAAACTTGTTAACAAATTGAAGTGTTTCGGTGAAGCCTTCTTCCATAAGAGATACTGCAACTCCCTTTGTATAGCCAGTGAGTGATGCTTGTGCTATTCATATTTAGATATTAAATGTGATGAGGACCCTGATGTTTCTCCCTGCCTAAGTACTGTATTGTGCAGGTGAATCTCACGACCTCCTTGTCTGAGGGAGGCCATCCACTGGGAGGCCCTACCTCAACAAATTGACCTTAGAGCATGTGGCGTTCCTTTGGCAATCTACAAGCTTCCTGGAGAGCCTCTGCAACTGGTCTGCCCTAAGTGATGTAAGCAGAGATGGCCAGAAAATAGTAGAATCCTACAAACGCTGTACTGACCAGTTCAAGTGGCTGGTAGATAAATAATAACAACAGATACAGCATTGTATTTACTTGCAGGATGGACTGTGCTGAAAAATAAAAAGTACCATGGAAGCATGTCTGAGCAAACTGTTCGTACAACCATCCCTCTAGTGCAAGAACTAAGTGGAGCAAGACATTGGAAGCCAAAGGATGTACCAAGCACTTCCTCGAGCACTTCTCCCACAGCAAACCCACCTAGCAAGCCACTTATCACAGAACTTTCAACAAAAACCATTGCATCAATCTCTGAGACAGCAGAAAAATCCAAGCCAACATTTTTGATGAAAAAAGTTCAAGAAGAGAATGGTCATGAAGACTTGATAGTTGAAGTCAATTTGCCCAGCATGGTGAGCACAACTACACTAATCAATTCACCGTTTATCATTTTAAACACATTTTATTCTGTTCTTGATTTTTACCTTACTGAAACAAATTTTGAGGAACATGGTTCCCAGCTGAATTTCCTGAACCCATAATGCAGAATGGTTGACTATTATGTATGCCCATGCTGTGGTCATCTTGCAGCAGTTGGTTCCAATTATGAAAAAAAGTGTTCAATGCTGTAGATGTTTTGTGTACAGCTCATATACAGTATTGATAGTGCAGAACTGCATAATATTAAATTTGGTATATTGTCATGGCCTTCCTCTTACCACCATCATCTGTAGTACAAAGAGCTTTTCTTTGGCTGCATATTGGCCACACATGGGTACTTCATGGAGCAAAGACCTGTTCCTTATTTTCCAAATTAGTCGAGCACCTCCTCAAGATGTTCCTCAACTCAATTAGTTGAGTTGAGGAAGGGACTTGGGTAATGTAGATAGTTTCCTGGGCTTGGTACCTTTATTTGATAATTGCATACTTGCATTTAATTATATAAAAAATGCTCAAGATTTTTATGTATTTATAAAATCACTAAAATTTTAAATGTGAACTCCCTCTTAGTGTTTACTCCCCTAAGGGCTTATGATATCAGTGATCAGTTTCTGTGATATCTGTTTCTTACAGGTATCGGGTAAAGCTATCAGTGTGGATGTTGGAGAGGATCGTTTAGTGGTCGAGAGCTCCAAGAATCTCCTTGATGTATTTGTTCCATTTTCCTTAGACAACGACAATGCTGAGGCCCACTTCATCACATCGACAAGGGTACGGTTTGTCTTATATAGTTAACAAAGTACAGTAAATAATATCAGAGCACATTAGATTTCCATATAGAGTATCAACTTAATAGTAGAATATGTTATCGTGCCTGTGTTTGTGTCTTTGTCTATATTGTTGTTGCTCTACGAATAAACCCTTAGGCTGCAGACATCGTTAGTTGTTGATTCACAGGGCAATGTGGTTATCATATAAAGATTTAAACAAATTATCGTCTGGGTTTTACACTTATGATGCAAATGTGGATATAATACCACTCTTTGGATGTAAATAAAGAAAAGTGATAAAACAATCGGTGAAACATTTGACAATAAAACAGGAAACGTTAGCAAAGTTGAGCACCAGGTGTTGACAAGTGCCAGATGCAGTGAACACCTGGTGCTCACCTCCACCCAGTGAAACTATGAATATTCACCTATTTTTGTGCTTTTTCTTACATTTTGCATACAATTTATTTTTTTTTTTTTTACATTGGTGGGTATGACCATATCTCCATAGCTGCAGTCTAAGGGTTAATTATACTTAGTGTAGAAATAAAGATAAGCCATCCACATTGTCAAAATCAGTACCTTCCTCTGTTAAGTATGGTATGAATTTTAGAAATGTAGTTACTACACTAGATTCTTATTTGTTATGTTTATTTTCAGGTTCTCATTGTGAGAGTCCCAGTTCTTCATGCATAATGCCTGCAATTCATAGGATAAGATTAACCATTACTGTATTCATTACTATTAAATCTATAAAATTAAAACTTATTCCTGGCATAATCCATTTTCTTGTCCAAAGTAATCCACCCACTCACTCGGTAATATATAAAATGTTTTAATTATCTGAAGCCATTAATGGCGATAAAATACTAACTCATATATGAGTATTTCAAAATAAAATATCCTTAATATACAGAAGCTGTAAATATAATTTGATATACTCCACTTAAACATTCTACTGCTATTTTCATGGATGAATCTAAATGTACAGGTATAAGCAGGGAACTCTCCCAGACCATGCCTTTCCAGTGTGTCCCCAAGTAGTTCCATCCCTGCTTGCACCCTTCTTCCATATTCTATGATGATCGGGTGGTATGAGAATGAGTGGGGTGGCATCACGAGACTGCTGGTGCTGCCACTTGGGCGCACCAGTAACTGACCAGTGGTTGAACTCTGATAATGATTACATAACTAGGAACAGCATTGCCAATGGTTACCTTGCAGTTGTCCATTTTTTGCTGTGCTCTATCTTTCCAATGGCATTTCTCCTGGTAGTGGTTGATCCAAGACCCCCCTCCCCCCCTAATCTTCCCTTCCTCTACTGAAGGGACCTGGGACCAGATTCATGAAGCAGTTACGCAAGTATTTACGAATGTGTACATCTTTCCTCAATATTTGACGGCTTTGGTTACATTTATTAAACAGTTTACAAGCATGAAACTTCCCAAACAACTGATGCTACTGTTATAAACAGCCTCCTGGTGCTTTGGAGGTTATTAACTGTTTAATAATTGTAAGCAAAGCCATCAAAGATCGAGAAAAGATGTACAGGCTCGTAAGTTCCTGTGTAACTGCTTTATGACTCTGCCCCCAGATTCTTGGGCCTTAGTAGGCTCTTGTAAATCGATGGAGCCTGGTACAGTTCTTAAATACTGTATACCAGTAGCCTAGTGGGATGCTCACCGAGTTACTGAAAGACCCACCAGAAAGCAGCATTTCATTATATTTAATGCTGGTGTCTTAATGATCCCTCCACTTTTCAGTGAAATAAATGTTCTTAATGATGTCCAGAATGTTTGGGATGTATAACAATGAAATATAATCCAAAAGTTTATAAAACAAAAAATGTGGCATATGTGTGGGAGGACAACAGGAATCTACACACTGCTGATTATGTACTAGAACTGCAAACTATTTGACATCTGCCCTCTACCAGTATTCTGCGCAAAAACACAGTAAAATCCTTACCTCACTGCAAGGTAACCAGCACACCACTGAATCTGCATTTTCCAATAAAGCCACAAATCAAGGGCTGCATGTTACAAAATAATCTGTTCAATGGTACAATGTAGAACAGGACTGCATAATCGTGTTAACATTCTGCACCAAAAGTGAATGGCAAGAGTAGGAAGAATGCCAAATGTGGATGATAATTTTAAGTTTGCTCAGCTGTGTCATTCCATTTTTCTTTATCCTTGCACATGTAAATATTCTAAAATCATTGCTCTATAACATGGTCATAAAACAAATAATATGCATAATAACTGATGTTACTGTAATTTTGCCTGCTAAGTAGCAAGTTGCAATATTTAAAGATATTTTACAGCTGTTATTGCCATATGCATGGTTTCTTTACATGCAATAATCATAACTGTATTTTCCTATTGTAGATTGAAGAAAGAAAGAAATAGGCATAAACAACTTATCACTGCATTCAGTAAATTTTCAATGGATGTTGCAGTATAAAATTTCTTTATCTTAGTGCAACAAATTAGAATCGCAGATAAAGTATATTACATGCAGCATTAGATTGTAGCACCACACATTCAATTCCTACAAAAGTCACCATAAACATGAGAAATTGCTGGTGGTTACACTTCCATGAGAGTACTACTGCAAAGGCTAGGGAGCGTGCACCACTCACCATATGGACGGCTGTGTGACGCCCATTAACGCATCTCATTCCTTGAACGAGTCTGTACAACATTATCCAAAATTTATTTTTATGTTTAGTGACGATTGAGTTTATACAAATAATAGTAAGGTATTGCACGCTCATCGTGATTTTTAATGTTTATATTTAAAGGCATCTTCACTTCACTTGTAACATTTCATTAACCTTAGAATATTAAGCATTACATTCAATATAAAATATTACAGGGTAATGATTACAGCACCAGGTGCATGGCAGGGTGAGAGACTAGTGTCATATGAATTCAAATATTGGTAAGAAAATGTAAAGTGATTATATACAGTATAACAAATTTCAAAGGTATTTTTTTTTAAATAAATAACGTAAATAAATTCTATAGCATTCTCAAATCATACTGCAAATAAATTCATTAATACAAAAACACACTAGACATCAATAAAATTTATTCTTTTTAAAAAGTACTAAATTAAGTTAATAATGATCTAAATGATGTCTCTTAAAAAATAATAAGGCTCAAAACTTGTGGAACAAAAATTCCCATTGGCTAGCTATAACACGAAGGAACTACAGTGCGTAAGTATACAACATGCAGCCTGACAACACTTTAATGCTTTAAAATACCACTGAACTGCTGGTGTACTCTGTCTTTCACACCTTGGATTTTAGCTTGAAACATCGAATTGCTTAAAAACCTAGCAATTAGGTCATGGGAACATGAAACATCCTAACAGTACACAACACTGAAAAACACCCATTTTTTCTCAGTTTTGTTTTAAATTAATATTTGAAAAATTTAACACACTGCAAACTGCTATAAAGCAACACATCAAAAAATTAATTATCTTGCAAAGCAGATACCCAGTACAAAGTGTCTTGCTTATTTTAATGTCAAAATGGTACTCCAGAATAAATATTTTAAATACATTCTGTATTTGTCAAGTACTTTTCTTCTAATTGAGACTATTATAAGAAAACGGTTACTTTCAAAATTCGCCTTTAATCTTTCACTCTCATTCTTATCTCGATGCCTAAACTAAATGTCCTAAAAGCCAAACATCAGTATCATTCATTCCTTCGTTCTTACCTCTTTTCTGAAGAGCTTTGAAAATTATGTATTTTAGTATCTACACCACAAATCTAAATGTATATTTCTTGTGCTTGTAGATTCTTCTAAAGACAAGACAGGTGGACAATATACAATGTTATATAAGGTCAAATGATCCATACAGTGTATCTATCCTATATAATGCACAAAGTAAACTGGTTTAACAATTCCGGCAATGGTCGAGGGGTAATATTAGTACTTCACAAGCACAAACTTAACAGTGTAATGTGTTTAAGCTTAAAATGTAATACTTTTACAAACATCTTTCCATATTTTCAGTGCCAATAAAATCCTTAGAGTATTATATCATTTGTACATTTTTTCTCTTGCTAAATTGATGACAATCTCATCTTTCATACTCAAAATATTGCCTTGTTATTTTGGTGATCATTAACAGACCCATTAATTTTGGGTCAAGCTTTGCTGTATGAGCAGAAAAGCTTGGCCAACCATAAGTAAATCGTCATAAAAAAAATTTATTCGGAATTTAACCTCAAGTCTTTAAGAGGTAAAGAAATGTCATAAATAAAAAATAAAAATGTTAATGCTTTATCACCCTGCAATATTATCTGGATATACAGTACACTATATTTATCATTGTCAACTATTGAACTAAATATTATTTAAGACCTGATAATATAAAAGGTTAAAAATTACTGTAAAACTTAAGTAATAAATGTGTACCAGGATACTGTAACTCAGGACTGTATGACTATAAATTAAGTCATGTAGAAGTCATGTGTGAATTGAGTTAATTTTAAGTAGTAGTTACATTAAAGAGGCCACGTTAATATGCTACAAAACTCGAGCAAACAAAATTATAAAGTAGATATCTCTCTCTATTAATATATGAATTTAAATCCAGTAATGAAGTACTGTACTGCTGTACAACATATATATTCACTATTGAAATGTATCAATATATTTGCTTTCTGATACAGAGAGCCACATGGTACCCGAACCCCCTCAGAACCGAGACTGAATGAATATTCTTTTGTGTCCGGGTAAGCGATTCATCATCCTGAAAAGCTAGGGGGAAAAATGTATAATTTTGTTGAGAAATTCAACAGTATTTTGTTAGTACTCACCAATATGAGAAGTTCCGATCTGCTTGTTAACTTGAAGATTATAGTTGATGGAGCATTGTTATTTAAATAGAAAAGGTGGTGGTGGGTGCTGATAGTGTTGGGTTAACTAAAGTAGAGATTAATAGTGATTAGGTAACCTCATCAGACTGCCTTTCACCGTGTACTCTAATGTACCTAATGCCATGGCAAAGTTTAAAGCTTCTGAGCCATCCATTAGTGTATGAACACTGCTAAAGTGGTGTTGTATATGGTCAGTGGGCAAACTAGTTCCATCTTTATCACACATTTTTATTCATATTGCCTGCCCCACCAGTTAATCAAACTTTTTTTTATTAAGACAAACCCAAAACGAATAACAGACATTCAGATAAGTGGCATCCGGAAAGCATGTGGTCATCTATATCTAATAGTAACCCTGAATTACCTAATCTCCCAAATTTAATTCAAGCTTTTATTATTAAAATGCAATTAAATACTGTAAGTTGCAGAAAACTTAGCTAAAACCACATTCTTCACACAGTGTCTCCAGGCTTGCATTAACAATGTCATATCTATAATCCAACTTTAATCATAGGCTTTGGGTTTTCTTGGTCCATTAAGATGACACTTTGTCATTCACACTATAGAGTATGATATTTGCCTATACAATGTGACTAAATTAATTATACTATAAGGTTCATAAATCTTATTTTGTATTATTCTTAGTTTTGCCAAATACCAAGTTTTTTACCCAAATTTACAAGTTTCTAAATTTTCCTTCTACCTTTGGTCTTTATATTAATTTAACACAACAGTACTGTACCTCTAAGTCTTACTAAATATTCAGTATATCACACAGTAAGTTTTATCAGGTCATATATTCATAGAGAAAATCTTGATGTTGTTCTGTATATCTTATTTTCAATTTCTCAATTTAATTATATGACAAGTCAATCTATGTTTCCATTTCTTGTGAATCTGTCCCAGGTTCATCCATTTCTACATCAAGACTAACAGTACTTGGTAACGTGCTATGATGATACTGATCTAAGGACATGCCATAAACAGGGGTTTGACCTGCCAATTCCCGGGTAACTCCATTAGGAATATCTGTAGCAACACGAAGTCCAAGAGTCCCTCTGATTGGAGAACCAGAATGAGACATTGGCTCCTCTGTGTTTAATCGTATATGATGTGATGGGATTGGAGAAGAGTTTGGAGATGCATTCACTCGTGGTGTTGGCACTGGAGAAGAACTGGGTGATGATCTATGCAGAGAAAGAGGTGATGAGGAGGTACTCGAGAGCCAGCCTGTGTATGATGGAGTTTGATCACTTGGCAGGCCACCATTGCCAACATTTCGCATAGAGATATGCGAGTACAAATTTGCTGGCATTGGCAATTGTGAATGAGATTGGCCATCATTGCGTACTGAAAACAGAGATGAATTTACAGAAGAGTTAGAATTCGTTCTAGTTGACAGGCTAGGCCTCCCAGGGGTTCGACAAATGTTATTGTCCGAGGATGAAGACGACCAGGAGGATGTGGATATTGCTGACTCTGTAGAACCAGAGGAAGTAGGACATCGATTTTGGCTTAGACTATGTTTCTCTGCATGATAGATCCTGAGCACCTGACTCACGACTGGGTGAGTATCAGGATCACTGAGCCACATATTAGCATTATTAGGGCTCTCATACAACATCATCAGAGCTGGAAAATATAAATTATACTTCAGTTCAAGTACAGCATTTTACAGATATATTGATAGTATATTCTAATAACCTGAATGTGTTATGCAGCAATAATACAAGGTAAACAGCAAATTTTTAAAGATTAATGTTAAGAAAAATGCCCCCCAAAAATTATTTTAATGTAAAAGAATGAGATTTCATTTTAGTGCTATAAAATACATTCAAATCAATATAGTTATGGTCACCAAGACGATTACTAGCTTGAGGGTCATCATTTAACCTGCTGCATCCATCGTAAAAACAACGAACATAACGTTTTAATAACTTGTACTCTTTTAAACATTTCTAGACAACAAATATTTGCTGCCTCTGTATGGAATAACTTACTGTGCTCTAAAAATTGTAAAACATGACATTCACGCATGACACGACAAATGGACAATATTTCAGGCTCTCTCCCGATCTTCAAGTATGGAGTTTCTAGGTCAAATCTATCACCCCCTAAATGGGGGACAGGGAGTCTAGATTCATTTCCACCTCTTCTGGGATGCCTCAAGTCATGAGTATAGAAGTAGTTTGAAAGATTGCTCAAAAGATTTCTGGCTCTTTTTCTATTCCTTGTCCATGTTAATGCCTCTGGTTATGCGCATTTAAACTTAGCTGTTTTGGAGTCTTGCCTTATGCCTAGTATTGTTGCATCCTAAAGGGCAGCTCTAATAGAGCCAGTTCAGCTGATTTTAGGTCATTATGTTCATTTAGGCCATTTCACCCTTCAGCTGTGGTAAACATTCTTCCACTTTAATCCTTCGAATGCATCACTGGTACCAGCCTGGTTGTTGAATGCAGTACTAGGCATTGGTAAATGTTTATCACATTCGTTCATATTACATTTTGACATCTTTCACCATTTTTTTCTGAGATTTATATGAGCATTTGCATTAGCCCCTAATTATGTTCTTGAACCTTTCCTTGTAACACCTAAATGTATATTTCAATATTTCACTCCAGGTGACACTATAATTCTCTGTGTGTTAGGCATTACTATGGATGTAATATTCTCCCCGCACCTTCAATTAAATTTCAAGGGATCAACTCGTGTCATTTTGTTGAGGGAGGTTCAGTTACAGGTGAAGGCAATTTAATTTTGTATGAGATTAAAGTGCTTCACTTCCAGTTTGAGGCATTCAATTCATCCAGCTGATTGACTCATCACTAAACTTTCCCTAAAAAAGATTGCGATTCTGATAATTATAAGTGTTTATAATAAATGCAGAGCTGCAACTTCCTCTGCTGATGCAAAGATTTCTCTCTAGCACATACCTACAATCAGTTTAGTTTAATACAGTGATGCAAAATACAAAGATTATATATATCCCTAATTACTAATTACACTGTACAGTACTCTGGAAAATGGCTTAAACCGAGTTATGAAGTACCGTAACACCGCTTCCTCAGCAGCAGAAATCAAACTCAAGATTGTTAGTATTCTAAGCTAATATAATAAGCACTCCTTGAACTGTATTCTCACCTGCATTTGTCACCTAGCTATCTTTGCATCTGCAACTGTATATAATGTGTATAACAAGTCTTGTAGGTAACTATTTTCTCAGTTACAGGTTTCATTAAACAACGTAATTTCATACTAACCTAATAGAGTCTTCGGTTTTGGTAGAGCAAGCTGTATAACAGGAGAAGCAAGAATGGCAGAGATGATAGGAGAATCACGCTTGAGGCCCTGGTCATCTGTAACCACAGGCTCTTCACGCAGGAGTAACTCGCACTAAAAAACATTAAAGATCTGTGTAATGCACAATATTCCTACAACACTTTAATATACATGTCTACAGTACATCATATAGATAAGCAAAATTCTGAGAAGACAACTGTCAATATCTTTGAAACCTTGGCCCCTTTTACAACCTTTTAAGCACACAAGATATCTTCCAATATACTGTACAGCATACCAGTTTCAGCTGTTGTATCAAATAAATTATTTACCCAAAAACTATTCACTCAATAACAGGATTTGGCACAGTTGATAATCTTTCAACTTTTCTTTGCTGTTGATGGTCCGGATTTTACTTTGTTTGCTATTACACATTGGGTTGTTAGTTAGGAAATTGTAGATCCATCATGGCTTTTCAGGTAATTCTTTTTGACCTCATTTTGTACACAATAACACCATGGTCCCATTTGTTGAAGGCATTTGTGAAATCTGTGAATTTCACAGTTTTGTTTGTCTTCCATGGCATTTATGGCCATGTAGAGTGGTCCAGCAATTGTGATATGCAAGAGCACCATGTTCTGAAACCATGTTCAGGGTTATGTAGTCATTCTACAGGGTCATACCATGTGTTTAGTGATCTTACTAATCACTTTCAAAGATTTTTATGATATGATGTTAATGCTATTGGCCTATAGTTTTTTTGCCTCTGCTTTATTCCCTCCTTTATGGAGTGGTGCTATTTCTGTTGTTTTTAGTATATCAAGGATAACACCAGTATCGAAACTCTGGGTCCAAAATTTTTTTAGACCCAGTGATAGTGTTTTTTTTTTTTTTTTTTACAGTTCTTGATGAATATGGAGTTCCAGGAATCAGGGCCTGGTCACAGAGTACATGGGCATACTGTCTATGGCTACTTCAAAATCAAGTGGGATTAGCATGACATCTGATATTTGGTTTTATGTTGGTATCACATTTAAGATGATTATATTGAATTATCAACCCTCAGTGTGTTTAGGGGTGCACTAAAGACAAAATCATACTGCTGCCTCAGCTCATTTTTTTTTTGTCATCTGTGAAAGTTCCATCTCCCTTTCACAGGAGCCCAATACTAGATGTAGTGTTTGTTCTAGATTTTGTACGGGTGAAAATATTTCACCTATGTAAGAAAAGTAAGTTATAGATACTGTTAACATGATCCAAGAGAGAATCTTGGTAGCGAGACACCTGGACAGAAAAAAGCAGGTGGTGAAAGGAAAATGGTACCACAGGAGGGTTAACAGTCAAAGCATGGCATAAGTGAGTGAGGATGCTGTAGGGAACATGCAAGATAGCAAAGGCAGTAACGATCACAATGATCTTGTATAGAGGACGCGGGTTTCTGTACACTGGTGTACAGGCTGAGTACTATCTGAATTCCATCAGGAAACACACTTCAGCATGCCATGGGAGATATAGCGAGGAACAAAGTGGAGGGCTTTATGTTTAAATGCTGATGTGGCATAATTTATACAAATAAAGAATCAGATATAGTAGTAGATATAGGCAATGTGAGAAGCATGTGTTGTGTTTGAGAACAGAGATAGTAAGAAATGAGAATGTCATATAAAGATGCAGAGTGCAAATGTTGGCAAATTGCATGGATGATAAACTGTTAAATTTGAGGATAGGAAGGCCATGATGACAATGAGCAGACATGATGTCTGAGGAAATGACAATTGAATATCTATCGGAATTGTTGCGAGAACAAGGTAGTACTGTACTGTAGTAAACAAGTAGTAGTTTATGAACGAGTTTCTTTTGTTGTTATTGATGATGATGATGATCATCATCATTACAGTAATATTTTGATACAGCCAATAAAACAAACTAGTTAGGATAACTTACTGCTACATTCTGTTTATTTCCACTAACACGCAGTGCATTGATAACATTTTCTTTCTTGAATCCCATTTGCATCAGTTTTTCTAGGGCCTCTGGATTTGGCTGGAAAAAATTAAACAAAATTATGCCTTCAAGCTTTACATACAAAATGCTATGAAATTATGATAAAGAAAGCACAGGGGTCATCTGAAACTACACAAATAAAACTTGATTCCATTAAACATTTCCCACCCCTCAGGAGGTGGTAAATACCCTCTCCTGCATTCTGTCCTTCATGTTGACCTTCTGTTATAATTCCACCCCCTTTTTTTCAAGAAATACAGTACCTGGGAAAATGCACGAAGCCAGTTAAAACTCAACCCCATATTCCTGAGAAAGTACCCATTCAGTAGCTTCCCCACAAAGAAGGAACTACAATACTAAAAAGAAAAGACATTTATTGATACTCGATCGTCAAACTAGAGGACCCAGGAAACCTATGGCTATGAGAAGCTATTATCCGAGAATACACTGTACAGGAATTGACAAGTGGAGAGTGCCCAAGGCCATGCAGCAGTGATTAGGCCGAAGCAGATGAGGGAGATAACAGCTGGCAAATATCAGTTCAATCTTCATAAATCCACCCCCATGTCCCAATTTCAGTAAATGATATGGACAAAGGAAATTGCATTGGAAGTTGTGTGAAGGAAGAGATGAGAACCAAGGGGCTGAAATGACCACATTACGCTACAACTTCCAACAGGACCCCCCCGACCAAGCTCTTCATTTTAGATAAAAACGAGAAGCATCCAAATCAGGGAAGAGCAATAAATGAACTGATACAAATACCAGTCGCACTTAAAGCAAATGCCTCCCTGTTGAGTAGAGCCACACAGACTGGAAGCTTGTGGTTCCTTACAAAGTTGAACAGGTTTACCACCCACTCCCATTCAGTCACAGCCAAAACCAGGAGAGATCATCACATTCACCACAATGTGAACAACCTGGAGGATCAAATAAATAATAGTACTGTACTGTAGCAAAATATACCCAACTACTAAGCACAGAAATATATATATATGAGCATCATTCAGTTTACAGCAAAGATGCCAAATCCCTGTTTATTACTTACACCATTTTTGTTAACCTAAATTATAGTCAAATGCCATTTAAATACTTCAGAAATGTACAGTACAGTATTTATTAACTTTGTATTACGAGGCAAATTTCCCATGTTCATTCTTATTTAACCCGACAGCAGATTTGATAACCTTTTGTGGATACTGTATATTTTAAGTTTTCAATCATTCCTTCATCAATTTCAGCACAGTTTTTTTTACTTTGCCTGTTGCCAGGCAGTTCATATATTTCATATACAGTATTAGATTTCTGACATCTTTAATGGTCCACATTACACAGGAGTGAGATACATTAATTCACAACTGAAATAACAATTTCTTCTTTAATAAGCTTGAAAGGCAAGTTTCCCCTTGCCAATTATCAAGTTCATTTTATATTTCAGGATCAACATATTTATTCATCACAATAAAATCATAATGGTGTGATATATCTATGAAAATCTTTTTGAGGCAATGTAGTGACTTGAATTTGGGACCTGGCAATTTCCAGATGCCTCCCTTAACTGCTCGGCCACAGTGGTACAGAAGTTGACTTACGCAGAACTCTGCTGAGTTTTCTGGGAAGTTCTGGAGGCACCAAACTGGGACCCAACCAGGGTTTCACAGTCAACCCAACCACACACTCGGGCATACGGTAAAAATGTTCCCATTTTTATGCCCGTCAGATTTTTTTTTTTTTTTTTTTTTTTATCAAAACACGTTACATTTTCATTGATATAACTCACCATTGTGATTTGATTGCAATCTGACCGAGGCGTAAGAGTGGAAACGCCATTATCATAGGCCCGAGTGCCATTTGTGGCACTCTGAGGACACAATCATGTGGTCGGGATTACTGAAATCCTGGCTGGGCACCAGTTTGGGACCTCTATAACTTCCCATAGTAAAGTTTTGGGTTGGTAAATTTTTGTAACACTGTGGCCGAGCGGTTAAGGCAGGCATCTGGGAATCACTAGGTCGCGAATTCAAGTCACTCCATTGTTGACCAGACCACACACTAGAAGGTGAAGGGATGACGACATTTCGGTCCGTCCTGGACCATTCTCAAGTCACTCCATTGCCTCAAAATGTTTTTCATATTTGTCCATACTGTATTTGGATTAGTAATATCTAATGCAATTTGTATTAATGCATATTATCAAGGAAATTTTGCTTGAATAAGCCAGTGCCTCATAGACAATTCAATGTTTCCAATTCAAATGAAGTCTGCTGAAAGGAAAAAATCAGAGTTTAGACATCAAAGACAGTATTGAAGAGTAATGTGTTTGTTTTGCTTGTATTATTCCCTTCCACACAGTTATATGAAACAAGGCAGTAAAAACCAACCTGGAACCACTTCTTTCTGTACTGAAGAAAGGTGTTAAGAACTCTCTCTGCAGGGTCTTGAGAATGGTCATTTACTATATTGTTGGTGGAGACCAAGAGATCAGAGGCAATATTTTCTCTACTTTCGGCACTGCCTCCACTGTTGACTCCAATTATAGAATCATTTGCACCCTCTTCTAAGCTACCTTGACCTAAAAGCCATTCTGTTGCTTCCATGACAGTTCTAGAAATAAATTATATAATTGTTACATTCTGTAAATCAATATAACACCTACACAAATTACATACCAAATGCAAGTAAATATTTCTTCTCACTTTCAAATTTTGTATTTCCCCTATTTTGTCAAGAAATCATTTCAAAACCAGCATTCTTATTAATCATTAGCTATGCACATTAGGAAGTATCTAATGATGGGCTTTAATAAAAAATCCAGCATTGAATGTAATGAAACTTCTTTCTTGAAGGGGACGGGGGGGCCCTAAGTATCTTCTTGTGGCTAGGGTGTGATACAGCAAAGCCTTAAGTAAATGCACCACACATCTGAGAGCCATAATCATCTACTGGGAGAGAGGACCACAATCTGGCTCACTACCAAGCGAGAGGTGCTTGCGGGTTATGCGCTACAAAATAAACCACCATTTGAAGAAAATTTGATATCTAGAGTCAGCAAAGCAAACAATCACTGCTGCAGGGGTGAACACCCAACTGTGATGTACCTGACTGCCACCTGGTAGAAGTCCAAGTCAAATTAGGCTCCAGCCAGCCTGCCCCATGACAAACTGGCTAAGCTAAGCTCTCCATCCCACAGGGAAGAGGGATAGAGGAAGGTACAAGAGGCTGCTGAGGGCCCACAACAAAAGAGCAGTTCATTATATTTAGTACTGTTCATTTTGTGCTTGTTTTCTGGTTGGGCCCTCTCAGTAAACACAGTAGCTAACTCTCAACAGTGTCCACAGAAACAGCCAGCATTACTGAAAAATAACCAGGGTTTACTTATGTGAGAGAAAAAAAAAAAAGATGAGTGCCCAACCAACAGACTGGAACAGTAACCCAGAACAAAGAGCCCCAGAGTCCAGGGAATTAGCCATCAGACTCAAGGACCAAAAACATCAAGTGGCCGAGGCCTCAAAACATATGCCAGAGGCCTGTACCAAAAAAGAACAGGATAAAACCTCCAAAGACAAGGACAAGAAGCCCAGAGAAACAGGGAAAATACCCAAAAACCTTGCATGGTGTTTCTAAAGCGTGACAGCACTGCCACATTCAGGCCAGCAAGACAGCTACCAACACCCAGACAAATCAAGACAAATCAACCGAGAGTCTGAGCCCGGAACCTTAAAGGCAAGACAAGGAAAACCTCTACCTCTTGCTAAAAGGTGCACAGCCCAGAAAATGAAAAGACACACAGCGCCCAAAATGTTCTTCAAAAGAACTCGAGTTTCACTGATGCCAACATCACTTGGATTAAGCATGAAGAAGAGGAATGCCCCATCAGAGGAACTGTGCCCCCCTATGCTGTGACCAGGTGAGTGAGGGGACAGTGGCTGGAGCCTCAGGTAACCTGGGCAGTCACCTAGTGTAAGGTGCATTATAATTAGGGGTTTACCTCACAGCAATGATTGTTTGCCTTGTTATCTCTGGGTACCTAATTTTCTTTTTTGTAGTTACTCGTTTTGTTGGGCTTAAGCTTTCTGATCGGTTTCCTTAGTTTTGGATTGATGTCTAATTCCAAGTTTCCCTCACACTAATATAGGGGGCCAGATTCCAATCCTTGCTCGTGGCTCGATGGGCATGAGCTTGGCTACAGGAAGCCACTGAAAGGGCCCCACCATAGAAAAATAAGCAATTAGCATGACAAGGGTAGACACAATAATACTGTATGTCTATAGCCCTTCCCTTGGTGCAGTAATTAAATTACCTCTCTGTCTCATTGACACAGTATAGATTTTGTCCTGGCAATATTTTACCATTTATGTAAAATACTAATTGAATGACAGCATTTACCAAGCAATTAGCATTATTCCAGTGAAAAAGAACTTAAAATATTGTAGTACAAAAGGTTGCAACAAATGTAACTCAGTAGTGAACACTTATCTACTACAGACAAAACCTTTAGAATATAGTACCATAATTATTTACCATTCTAAAATCACCACAGGAGACTCCAGATGCATTTTCCAGTGTAATAGCAGCCAATAAAACAACCCCTTTTTCAGCTTAGGTTATTTCTTATTGGCTTCATTTATCCCATCACTGACTGCTTTCGCAGTGAACAGCATCTTAAATCCAACATCTTTGGAAATGTTAATCACTTAGATTTTCCAGATTTTATTTACAGCATCTTTTCTCATCATTTACACTTTTAATCTTATTTATTTATTCAGTACACGTATCATACAAAATATAATTTTTTTTTAAGGAACAAATTATTGTTCCTCACGTCATCAATATAACGTACAGTACTCTTAAAACATCACACACACAATCATTCCTTACACTTAATCTTTCCTTCCTAGTCCCTCATTACACATATTGTCTTCCTTCTATAGCTTACAGCTCTCATGTGTAGCTTTGTTTATGCTATCTTAAGTGAGAAAAGTATTAAACACACTATGCACGAGTGCAAGGGTTAGCTGCAGTTTATAATAAAATATCTATTGATACCAAATACTACTAAACCTTTTATCATAATTTGTATAGTTATAAAACATTATTTTAAATAGATTAGTTACTAGTTACATTCTTACCTCTTAACCTGCAAAGCTTTAGTAGCTTTGGCTTCAGGGAACCCCATTTCAGTAAGTTGTCGGAGATAAGTGAGGTTAACACGTGGGCGATGACGACGTTCCAATTTGTCAAGGATTTGGTTGAATACCTCGTCTGATTCAGGATCAGCACTAATAAGACGGACTGAAGCCTCTATCATTGTAACCAAGATTCGACGAAACTCTGTTTGGAACTACAGAAACAAATTATATTAATCACTTTTGACATTCAGCAAATAAGAATTAATGTAATTTAATGAACTTTATTCTTCTGATGCTTTCCATTACAGGGTATAATAAAATCTGCATTCACTTCTGTATATACACTACAGATTGTACCTGACGAGATGAATTTGGTCAAAATGTAGTTTTAAATTTTATTAGATACACCCCTGTACTTTAACAAAGTTAATATTACCTTCAAACTTAAATGCTATATCAGATTCAATAATTTGCGTAATACTGTACTCTATAGTTTAACTACCATTAGCTGAAGTAGAGTACAGGTACTGTTAACAGATTAATGCTCTGTAATATGTGATGAGCATTGAAGCTATTGTTACCAATAAAATTAAATTCATAAAGCATCTATTGATGATTTTAAACTGAAGAATTCATAAAGAATGAATATACAAAAATCAAATGTTGACTGTAATGAAATGCCCTTTTCTGGATGGCCTCAGTAACTCTCTGGTGCATTAGGCTTGATTGCCACAAACACCTTTAACAATACCAGGGTTCAAGAGTGGTAAGCAGGTGTGGCATACACCAGGAACAGAATCCTGTACACTAAAACGAGGGGAGCATGGATTTGGTGTGCAACCCAACAGCGAGAAAAACAGCATAAGTGAAGTGAAACAAACCACAAATCTTTACTAGAGACAAAACAGTATTACAAGGTAAGCAGCAGTTTGCTAATGGTAATTGTGTTAGCACCCATGAATGTCACCACATGGCAGGTCAGATCATACAGGGGCCGAACTGATCTGCACTCTTGCTAACATGCCGCACCAAGATGCCCCCCCCCCCTTCTACACGAGAAAAAAGGGAAACAAAGGACAGGTACAGGAAGCTAGTGAGGCTGCCCTATAAAGGACATTTCATTATAAACAACCAATTTCTGGGCTGGACCTTCAGCAGCTCCCCAGTGTATACCAACAATCGTGCCTCAGAAACAGAACTAGCTTTCCAGTGAAGACAAAAACGAGAAAGATGGAAAGCACTGACCCATGAGAGCAGAAGGCAGGAGACTAGGGCTCTATGAAAAATAAGCAGAATTGGGTGCGACACCTGCCCACCTACCAAACTAGAAAGTCAATGACAAGGGACAAACAATTTCTTCAGTGTGGAAAAAAACAAAACCTTAAATGGTGTGCAGGATACAAGTTAATCGATCTGACCAAGTCGAAGCCATAACATTTATAGAAATCAATAAAGCAGTCACAGTCTTTAAGTCCACTTTTGTTCTGGCAATATTCTTTATACGGTACTTGTTGGGAGAATGCTGAACAGCCATGGACCTTACAATGTTCTCTGTGCCGCTGGCTCCTCTAGTCTTCACTGAATTTATTGTGTGTTTCCTGTCATATCATTCACTCCAGTACGTTGTTATTTTACTGTGCAAATTTGGGGTTTGCCTTCCAGTATTTTTCATGTACAGTATATACTGTATTATGTGATACCTCTCTCATCTCCTTTCCAGAGAGTACATTTTGAAAGCTTTGAGACAGTCCCAATAATTTAGGTGCTTTATCGTGTCTGTTGCCAACAGTCAGCTTTAAATAGCCAAACGGGCTTCATGCCCTAACTATGGACAACCATTGGTCTCCTCTGAACTGCACAACTCACATCTTATAAAACAGCAGGTTCACATCTTTCCTGGAGGACTATGAACTTTTCTAACCAAACAAATTTAATTAACACTATCCCTCTTTTTATCTCTGTTGCTTGTACAATACTTTCAATGCAATAATAATAATTTGTTATAATACTGTATAAAGCTGATCTTCCCTAGAATTTTAAATAAATAAATGACAACAGCATAACTACTCATTACATCCATATTTACAGAGCCTTAAATTATATTAAGCAATGCAAAACTAACATCAACAGTATGGTGTGCAGCATCTGGGTCACGATTATCATTTCGTTTTGTAAGATGGATCGTGGCAGTGTCAATGTCCTCTTTAGTTGGTGCTTCTTCTTCTTGTGCAGCTACATCTTGAGGTGGTGGAGGGAGTCGCTTCTCTACCAGTAACAGTTCATCTGTCGGCACACATCAATTTACAATTATGTATTTAATAACTTTCCATGTAATACTGATACTGTAGTGCATATGAATAAAACTGGCACACAAAAATTACATGAGCCTTTTTTTTATAAAAATGACAATTGAAATGTCCTATAATTAAAGACTTTAAAATAAACGGGAAGAAACCCACTTGCAAGGAGGACGTTTCATCATAACGATACAAAAATAAAAGTTTAAAGTTAGATGTTTATAGTGGGCAAGTATGAAATTTAAATGCCAAGTGACAAGTAGAGTGAAGATCTATAGGCTACAAAAATTTTGAAAGATTTAATCAACAGAAACCTGGAAGGTGAACAGGCATAAAGTGACTAACACTGCACTATAAAACATTCATTACATAGCCGATTGTTTTCTGAATTTTTTTCCAAGAAAAAATTTGAGTGGAATGCAATGCCCCTTGCTGAGTGGCATCTTGGGTGCTCCCAAACCTATACAGTATACTTAATTTATTAAAAAAAAAAAAACATTATAAAATAGTGCCTTTTCAAAATAATTTAAATGTAGGTGGATTACTTTCTCTCACACTTGCTACATTTCCTTCGCACTGAAATATTCCTCCCCACCCACACCCATCATATCTGTACACACGCATTCAACATTACAATATAAATACTGTATATTTTTTAATGTTCAAGATGAACAGCATTATAATAAATCAGCACTGATGGAATGGAGTTAAACAAGGTATGTATTTACTATTTGTACCTGCAGGATTGAGCCGTTAGCTCTTGGACCCTGCCTTTCTAACCGTCGGTCGCCTAATGTACCAACTCCCGATCTATTTTCCTCCATCACATCTACTACACATACATCTCTAACACAGACACACACACACAATCCTCAAGATGCAGCCTGTAGCATCTGTAACTCTCAGGTACTTTTTTATTGCTTGGTGAGCAGGGGCATCAAGTGAATGAAACTCTGCCCATTTGTTTTTGCCTCTGCCGGGAATTGGACCTGTGTGTCTTATGTGTGTCTTAATGTATACTACATATGTCCCTACTGAATAATACTGTGTAATGCACTGAGAGAAAATGGGAATGAGGAAGGTTGGGGTGCAGGGGATTTGTAATTTCACTAATATTGTATTTTATATTGGATGTGTATCATGTAAGTATGCATTTGTATTTTTCAGAATATTTTATAACATTTGTACTGTACTGATATGGCAACATGGGGGTTGGGGATATTATATCTATCTAAACAGGCAATTCTAAAATATCTAATTACAATACTGTACATTATTATTACAGTACACGCACACTGATTCTTACACAGACAGGCAAACAGTATATGCCCATTATTTGAGTGTTCCTGCTATTTGCCAAAAGCTCTGACAACATAAATCAGGGACAAAGGTAAAATCTTAAATATGGTACTAATGGTAGTACTGTACTCACCACTATCTATCAACTGCTCCAGCTGGACTGAATTGGTTTCAGCAAGTGGTCTAGCTTCACGCACTAGAACTAAGCGATAGGTTCGTATTCCAGTTGAAGCTTTTGAGCCATCAATAGCAGCTCTTTCCTCGCCTAAACTAACACCCACAGCTTCCCGAGGACTAAAAAAGTGGCACACAGCCATCTTCTTCACTCTTTCCACCGTCATATTTGTGGGAACATCCAATGAGTATTCCCGCCCTTCACTATTTAGAACAACCAGCTGAGAGGGAAAAAAATTAATGTTAATGTGACTCTTTAAAAATATACTGTACTGTACCTGGAATTTGTATATCTTCCAGAGATGCAAATAATATTCATAACTAGTTCAAACACTTTAAAAATCAGTAAGCAGAGATATCTTCAATAATTTATATAATAAGCAACTAAAATAGAAAACACAAAAGTTAGCTTAATTGTTTTATTAAGGACCTATACCTCGTATTGCAAACAGTGGCAGGAAGGTTTCAGAATCATGTAAGGTCAATGTTGCTGACGAAGCTGAACCCATTGTTCCTTAAAATACGAAATTTACATTTCCAGTGAACTAATTAACAGTTTTCATTTGCCACAAACTTGTAATGAAGTTACAAGTGAAATACACAAGTCTAATTACAGTACTGAACAGTTGTTAATGTTACAGTAATTATGAAGTAAACAGATGGGCAACTTAATTCACTGTGTTGGGGGACAGGCAGCCAGAGTGCATATATACATGTTAGGCTTATATAGAGATCCTCTTAGGGTCAAATTACTGACCTCTCCAGGATGCAACCCCACAACAAGCTGACTAACTGCTGGGTATCTATTTGCTGCTAGGTGAACAGGCGCATTAGGCAATAGGAAATGAGCCCAACCATTTTTATCTAACCCGGAATTCAAAGCTGGAATTCTCTATCATGAGTCGAGAATAAACCCAACTGTACTATCGGAACCCTTTGGCACCTATATGTACTTGTTGAAATCTTGCAATGCATATATGTAATATCTACAAACTTGTGATGCTTGGTTAGAATTACTTTGGGTAATACTGGACCTGTTCTCCTGGATAAAATATTACCATTTCTTTTTTCAAATTGGGGCTAGAAATACGGGTAATCTCTAAATTCTTTAACATGTTCACATTCAATAAGGGGAAGGCCTCACCTTGTGGCTGGGGCTGACACAGGGAGGATGGGGGGTTACATTGAGGGCTATCACAGGGGAAAGGGGCTCGCCTTGAGCCTGGGGTTGACAAGGCGCTCAACTTGAAGCTTGGGCTGACATACGGGGAAGTGGGGTTCACCTTGAGGCTGGGGCTGACACAGGGCACAGTAAGCTAACCTTGAGGCTGGGGCTGACATATGGAGGGCTCACTTCGAGGCTAGGGCTGACATACGAGGGGCTCATCTTGAGGCTGGGGCTGACATACGAGGGGCTCATCTTGAGGCTGGGGCTGACATATGAGGGGCTCACCTTGAGGCTGGGACCGACATACGAGGAGCTCACCTTGATTCTAGGGCTGAGACAGAGCACAGTAGGCTAACCTTGAGGCTGGGGCTGACATACGGGGGGCTCACCTTGAGGCTGGGGCTGACATACGGGGGCTCACCTTGAGGCTGGGGCTGACATACGGGGGCTCACCTTGAGGCTGAGGCTGGGGCTGACACAGTGCACAGAGGGCTCACCTTGAGGCTGGGGCTGACACAGGGCACAGAGGGCTCACCTTGAGGCTGGGGCTGACATACGGGGGGCTCACCTTGAGGCTGGGGCTGACATACGGGGGGCTCACCTTGAGGCTGGGGCTGACACAGGGCACAGGGGGCTCACCTTGAGGCTGGAGCTGACATACGGGAGGCTCACCTTGAGGCTGGGGCTGACACAGGGCACAGAGGGCTCACCTTGAGGCTGGAGCTGACATACGGGGGCTCACCTTGAGGCTGGGGCTGACACAGTGCACAGAGGGCTCACCTTGAGGCTGGGGCTGACACAGGGCACAGAGGGCTCACCTTGAGGCTGGGGCTGACATACGGGGGGCTCACCTTGAGGCTGGGGCTGGCACAGAGGGCTCACCTTGAGGCTGGAGCTGACATACGGGGGGCTCACCTTGAGGCTGGGGCTGACACAGGGCACAGAGGGCTCACCTTGAGGCTGGAGCTGACATACGGGGGGCTCACCTTGAGGCTGGGGCTGACACAGGGCACAGAGGGCTCACCTTGAGGCTGGAGCTGACATACGGGGGGCTCACCTTGAGGCTGGGGCTGGCACAGAGGGCTCACCTTGAGGCTGGAGCTGACATACGGGGGGCTCACCTTGAGGCTGGGGCTGACACAGGGCACAGTGGGCTCCGCCACGAACATCTCGGGCGATATGTTGCGACGTAAGAGGTTAATGTAGCGCGAGTTGATGGTCACTCTTGCTCTCCTTTTCAGCCAGCTAAGCATGAATCCTTTTGACTACCAACCATCACGAATACTGTCCGTGTTGCCTGCTGCTGCTGCCACAACTGCTCCCTGCTCACTGCTGGTACACAGCCTCGCTCCACACTCCGCCCCTCACACCTACCATCCTTACACCATCTACTGCCTACGTTATCTTCGCTAATGTTCTCACTTCAGAGCCTCAGAATCTTGATAACTATGTTCTACTTCCGTTCGCACTTGTAACACGAGCAACCTCACTGTTACGTACAAGGAAAAGTCTAAAAGAAAACGTTCACATATATTCCAGCATAAACTGGGGTAGTCATGGCGCAATACGGCTCCTCTCCCTATTTAAACTCCTATAAGTGCATACATTAGGTATTGCTTAGTTGGTTTACGCTGCATTTTGTGCATTTTCACGTACTTGAAGATATCCTCATATTCTTTGGCAGATTTCTTAATGTTGGCTGACCGATTTTATGATTTCAATCACTGAAGAAACCAATTGTGAGATGGATATCACAGAATAATACAATTAACTACTTCTTGACACAGAACTTTATAGTTTTGGGTAGCTGCATAAATATGGATGCAGCGGTATGTTAATAAAAAAGTGAGGTATTTGCTCCCCGGACTCCATGAATGACTAACCATCCTGTGAGATGGGAATATTAGGTGAACTTATAGCTAGTTTTTTATCTACACTGTGTAATCTTCCATACAGAATAGGGTAGCAGCACATTGCTGTGTATACCTAAGCTTGTTAATAACAATAAAAAAAGGTCTTTAATTGTTCCTGAACTCATTCATCTCTCAAATACAATTATTGTTGATTTATTTGTAAATTAATGAATTATTAATATTAAGCGAATATTTTTATTCTATAACAAGTATAAATTTGCAAATGTGTTATGTAACAAATTTCTAATCGACATATTGGCTTATAATTCTTGTCCCGAACGGGTATGGGGTCCGGATGATATCAAACATGTAAAGGAATTTTTCAATTTCTTTCTTTATTATGTCCCCAAATCCATACCATGGGCGGTGGTGTAAAGGATTACAGAGTTCGTTTAGCTAAGTAAATAACAATCTTGACGCTAGTTACAAAATTATTAATGTTATATATACATGTACACATATTCATGCATACATGTACATATACATCGGGATGTTTAGGGGGGATCCAAGAGTCAATGCTCGATCCTGCAAGCACAAATAGGTGAGTACATATATACATACACATACATATTTAATCACCCACACAAATACACACATCAATAATCTTTTGTGTCACAAGTGATTCAACAAGAGGCTCACAACAGTCACTATACAAGGCACTTTACATCTATGATGAGTCACACAGTTACTAGTCTTGCTGCACACCCACCCAACTGGGCGGCAGCTTTACAGTCATGTGCATGCATTACTTACAGTAAGCAAATTTTGGATACTTCACCAAGATTTCGGGCAGCACATCATTATGAATGAAGTACTTACACATTTCTTGGATACTATTGATGGTGTTATCTCTAAATTCCGCGATTTTTTCACAATCCATTGTATAATGTCGCAAAGTATGTGAATAGTTCTGCTGACAGAGTTTACATTTAGTCAAATCTACATCCGCAGGTGTTACAAATTCCCAGAGGTACTTGTAGCCGAGCCTAAGCCTAACATTGGTAACATCTAGAAGTCTGCTAATATTATTGGATGACCCATAGACGTGGGGTACTTCCTGCATAATAGAATGATGATAGATGGAGTAACTGGTGTGAATTTCACTTTGCCTTAAGTCTTCGAAATTTAGTTATGTTCCCGGAATATTACTGCCCTCAGGCTGCTCAAAGGCAGTCCAAGTTGGTAATCAATTCCCTTTTTACGAGCAAAAGTCTTGGCCAACTCATCAGTTCTGTCAGACAACTGTTTTCGATCTAATTTTCCATGATTTCCACAAAACTAGAATGATAAGCTAATTGAGACCAAGCAGAACAAGACATACACGTTCCAACACATCTGTGATTACGAATGTCTACAGTTATCAATTATTTTAGATTAAATTATTTGAGATACCTACATTGGTAAAGTTTGTAAAAATACGTAATTCACTCACGAATATTATTATATATACTACAGACAATTACATATGATTCTCAAACTACCCAAAGTTTGCTAGCACAGGCGCTATATTGAATAGATTCAGTCATTGTCCTGGGGACCATTCAGGCTTGTTCGCATTTGTGTTCCTCACGTGTAAATCTAAAACAAAAACCATCAAATATTAGGTGACCACATATATATAGTTAGCCCATGGCTGACGACATCTTTTATTAATTAAGAGAACATCCAACTTTAAGGAAAAGGTGTTATTCTAAATATGTACTATGTACATATATACTGTATATGTATATGTACTATGGTGGACCTCACTTGGATTATTGTGGATTATTGTATCCAAGCATGACGACCTCGCAAACGCATTGGAGAAAGTTCAACACCAGGGAACAAAAGTTATTCCAGAACTAAGTTATATATAAAATAGGGGTACCATCTCTGGTGCAATTGTAGGGATCCACAGCCTCAAAGAAGAAAATAAAAAGTATTCAGAGAAGACCTTCGGGTTTTCACTGAACAATTTAATCTTTTTTTCTTCTACCACCCCCATTCTTTTTAATTCATTTGATATATATATGATATATATATATATATATGTCGTACCTAGTAGCCCAGGCAGAACGCCCTTCTCAGCCTACTATGCAAGGCCCGATTTGCCTAATAAGCCAAGTTTTCATGAATTAATATATTTTCTCTAATTTTTTTCTTATGAAATGATAAAGCTACCAATTTCATTACGTATGAGGTCAATTTTTTTTTATTGGAGTTAAAATTAACGTAGATATATGGCCAAACCTAACCAACCCTACCTAACCTAACCTAACCTATCTTTATAGGTTAGGTTAGGTCAGGTAGCCGAAAAAGTTAGGTTAGGTAGGTTAGGTAGTCGAAAAACAATGAAAACTTGGCTTATTAGGCAAATCGGGCCTTGCATAGAAGTGCGTTCTGGCTACTAGGTACGACATATATATATATATATATATATATATATATATATATATATATATATATATATATATATATATAACCTAACCAATAGGTTAGGTAGCCGAAAAAGTTAGGTTATATAAGGTTAGGTTAGGTTATATATAAGTAAATATATATATTTTAACAAAGAGAAAACGAGCCTTCTCGAGACGTGTGGTGTGCGAAACGACCAGTCCCCTCCAGTGATGCCAGATTGGGCTACAAATAGCGAATTGGGCTACTTTTGAGAGCCCCGCGCTCCCAAATTTGTAATTTCGCTACTTGCTACTTTTTTGGCTAATTTAAAAGCAAGATGTGCTAATTTGGGCTATTAATGTTAAGAATGTACGATTGCAAGTTACATGAAAGTAACTAAGCTATAAATAACTGTAATTAATAATAATTGTAAATATTAATTAATACTAAATAATATTATTTAATAAATTAGTCCCAATTCAATGCAGAGTTTTCTTCCAAGCACAGAAACTTGTAAATATAAATACAAGATAATAGATAGACCGATAAATAAATAGACAACTTTCAAATATTGCACCAAGTAATGGTGAGAGAAAAAAAACTAGACAGTATACATTACATTTGAAATTAATAATGGATCAATGGTAATAAATTGGTGTATGTTTGTATGTATACCAGACAAAGTCCATTTAATGGCAGAATTTAGCCATTTTGTGTAAAAACTTTTATATCTCATATTATTAATTATAACAGTAATCGAAAAAAGTCATAGTTTGTATATAGAAGAGATGAAACAGAGAGCCATGAGCTAGAGCGATGTGTTGAGTCCATAAGGAGGCCGAGCTTCCAGAAATACCTTCCTGTGATTGGCTGTTGCTGGGAATACCAACACTCTTTTATGAATAAAATTTAAACTAAGAAATAGGTCCTTGTGCACAACAACAAGGTTGTTGTGAAAAAGAACATTTTCTGTTTTGCACCTGCCAGAAATCTCCATCTAACTGAATAATTTACTCGAATAAGAGGGCAGAGCAGTGTATCATTATTAGTGTCAAGGCAACCCCCAATAATAACGTCACACGTTAGGTAGCCAACCCATTTTTATATAACATCTGTTATATCCTGCAATATTTAATTATCACTTTAAATAATTAACACTTCACTTTTTTGGGTAAATTAAAGTTAAAGCAGAATTCCATAAGCAGGACTGGTGGGTTGAACTAAGATGATTTACTAAGTGGATGGCACCTATAGCTGATCCCTTCCTGTGATTGGCTGTTGTGTGAATGTCAACAAAGAGTTTCTACCAATGATATGCCACCATTTTATTTATTATGCACCCCATACCATCTTGTGGGCGGAGCTTGGAACTTCCTACCCGAGCACAACAACCCGCCTTATGGGTTGCTGTTTGGCTATTTATAGTGCGTTGGAAAAAAAACAGATGGCGTTAGTTGTATTTTGTGGGGTAATTTGTTATAAGTGTAATTTGATGTCAACAGATGGCGTAAGCTGTATCTTATGGCCACTGTTGACCAGCCAGTTGATAGTGGAGAATGTTTTACATACACGCCGTTCGTTCCCTGGTTGATTATGCGGCGCCTGCCTTACTCACTCTTTCTCCTGGTCAGTGGGCAAACGTTGAGGTTCTTCAAAATGATGCATTGCGAATCATAACAGGTGCTCCCAGATGGACTAAAATACTGAACCTAAGACTAGAAACAAAGCTAACGTCGATTGAAATAAGGGTAAAGGGGATTGCTACGTGCATGCTGACCAAGATATTGACTAGACCTAGAATCAGTTCACTTAAAGATATAATCACTGGAGCACTAACTCTGGACAGAAGAGCCTCTAATGGCAACAGGTGGACCCATTGTGCGATAAACACCATCAATACGTTCGATATGGCAAACACAGTCACTGAGAGGGGTGTCGACGACATACATGCAGACTTTGTTATACAAGCCTTTGGGAATCTCTGCCAGCAGACTTTAAGATTATGGCTCTTGAAGGAAAGAAGAACCAGACACATCCTCATCTGCTACGTAACATTGCACAGATGCATATAGAAGCAAACATGGCATCCGACAGCTTCACTTACTTCACGGATGGGTCAGTAGACCAGCAGGACAAGAAACCGGAGCTGCAGTTAAAGCAGGAAACTCTGTATATAGTTGGAGGCTCTCAAATGGGTGTTCGACTTTACAAACAGAGATGCTAG